TACACGAGATGAGGCAGGATAAAGAGGGATAATCCCCCTCGATCCCAAATCATTGAGGCCAATTTCTAGCCATAGAATAATGGCGCGCGGTTAACCAATTTCTAATCACTGTTCCAAAATGAAACAGATTTCAGGAAAAGACAAATAATGGAACGTTTAACCACATACTTCTATCTAGAAGTATGTGCCTTTACCAGGGTTTTTTCTTTAGTCAAACAATTCGCTGAACCGGCTTGTATTGACTGTATTAAAACCCATGATACAATAAAGTTATGACCTGTATGGTTGTATCATGATTAAAACCTGTCAAATATTCCCCACATAGTATTCCCAATCAGCTGATTGGGCTGACCCACAGACTTCTAAGTATATATATTGCGATTTCCATTGACTCACTCTGAGTTCGCACCGAGTATAATTCCATCTTTTATTATCACTGTAGATAATACAGGATGGAGATACACTGAATGCGCACTCAGTGCATCAATGGAAATCGCTAATAAAAATCTGTGAGCTGATCAACGAAATATTTGTCCGGTGAACGACTTTGAGCGTGAGCGGTCCACATACTTCTATCCGTGGAGCTCTCCGACCATTCGCTGATCACAGTCTAAATTGGATAGGAGGAATAGGGTTGTTGACCAAATTTCAAAAAGTAGATAATATAATTCTACATGTACTAATTAGTGTGTATGCACAATTAGAGATTGAGAAATGCGTTGGAACAGTTTTAAAATAATTATTTAAAACTGATTTTTTGTATGTATTTCAAAACGGCTGTGATGTCATAATGGGTACCTTGTAGTGAAATCATCTACACATGGTAGATGATTGCGTAAAGGAAAAAAATTGGAGGAAGAAGATGCTCTGTCAACACTATCAGTAGTGTCAGTCTGTCAGTGACATTGTCGCATAAAATATTTTCAAGTCTACAAGTTATTTTCCTTAATCTTCGAATTCCTTTATTAAGTAAAATTATTATTTAGTAATAATCATTTAATATCTTCCTTCCCTTAGAATTAAAGCAGAATGTGTGAAACGGGATTTGTGAAAGCTACTTCGCAAATTTTACCGAAAATTGATATTTTTATGATCATGAATTGAATTTTTAAAAAGAGACGACCGTTTTAATATTGGCGAAATCAGAGGTATAAAAGCAGTCAGGTAAGGATTAACATATTTAATGAATGATTTTATTGTGTTTATTTATAATATAAATAATAAATATAAATACCTATTTATTTACGGAAAATTATAGTGCAGTTCGGGAGTCTTATGGAGATAATGCAATTGGCTATGTGGAATGTGGAATGTGGAACAAAACACCACTTAAATTTTGTTGAATCCATTACAATCAGGAAATTAATAATAACTATCACAAATACTCTTAATTGATAGACTGCTGTCACTAGTGTCACTACTGTCACTTTTGTTTAAAAAACAGGAAACAGGGTAACAGGGTTTGATGGACAATTTTGATATATTTTCTTCTTCTTCAAAATTATGCAATAGGATCGCTACTAGCTTCTTGTTCAATTGCCCCTTATGACGTCAGACTAGTTTTTAAGTAACATAAAAATTCATAAATGATTTCTACCACTAATTTGTCATATATTTAAAATTTGACTATACAGGCAGGTTCTTTTATATAAAATCTTTGTACCAACAACAATTTGTATATGGTTTGTTTTTATAGTCAACAACCCTATTTAATTCTATTATTCTATTTGGGAAAAAATCTTAAGAGCCTGCCTAGGTCAATTGTCAATTGCCATTGCCAATTTATTGACAGATGACAGTGACATAATATGATTGATAATTGATATGTTTACAAGATATGTATTCAGAAGTATAAATACTACATTTCTCAGATAATTTAGGTAAATTAATAATCAGTAGAAATTATAAAAGAAATTTTAAAGTATGGCAAATACTGCAAATGAAGTGAAATTTAATGAATTCTATACCGAGGTGAGATGATTAGTACAAATAATGCACCTAATTCTACACAATTTATCATGCTTATAGGTAAAAGAAATAGAAAAAAGGGACTCTGTCTTAACTCCAAAACAGCAGATTGAACGACTGTTAAGACCAGGTTCAACTTACAGAAATTTAAATCCTTTCGATGTATTGCAAGTAGAACCTGATACCTCACTTGAAGAGATAAAGAAAAAATACAGACGGCTGTCTATTCTAGTCCATCCAGATAAAAATCAGGACGACCCAGATCGAGCTCAGCAGGCGTTTGAGGCTGTGAATAAAGCTTGGAAAACATTGGAGAATGAAGAAACAAGGAAAAAGTGTCTTGATATCATTGAAGAAGCTGTTGGGCGCACAGATTTGATGGTAAGCCATTGAAGTCTCACCGGTTAGATTCGTTAGGTTAGAAAAACTATTTTGACTGTAAAATTCTCGCATGGTTTTGGAGCTACAAATCCCAGCAATTTTGTCACCGTACCCAAATTGCATTGTCAGATACAGACATATATATAATATAAAATAATATAAAAACATTCCGTTAAAAAAATCTAAATTTTGTTCGAGGTATTTTTTCATTAAACTAATAAAAATACCCTGTAAGAGGTTCTTGGTGTATCCATATTACTAATGTGTAGATGAAATTTTGATTATTCTACAGAATTATTCACATTTCATACAAACTTGACTATAAAATGGGACTTTAGCTTGCAGAGAAAAGGAAAAAAGCTAAAAAAGAGGGAAAAGATGGCATACCCGAAGATGACCCCGCCAAATATAAACATGCCATTTATGTCCTCACAATGAAACTGTTTGCAGATATGGAACGCAAACGGAGGGAGTTGGCGGAGCGGGATCAAGAGGAGAGGAAAAGGAAACGAGAGGCTGAAATAGAGGAGGAGGAGAAGGTCAAGGCACAGAAAGAGTGGCAGAAGAACTTCGAGGTTAGTAATTTATGGGCGAAAATAAGAGCCAACATTTGAAGTAATTGTTTCTATAATTTACATTTATGGATTTTTTTTGGAAATTAAATTCTTGTGCTTGCTAATAATTCATGGGAATGTAAAAGCTCTTTTTTTATATATCCCACGGGTTTCTAGGAATCTCGTCAAAACAGGGTAGAAAGTTGGCAGTCATTTCAAGCCAATACGAAGAGTAAAGGCAAGAAGTCCAATAAGAAAATCAAAATGTTCAGGCCACCTAAGAACAAACCAGAGACAAGATAGACCACGACAGCCCGTCCTGTTATGTATTGGAGTATAGCAATCTGTTTCTTGTGTAGGAAATTGATTTTAATTTCTTTATTAGAAGGACTATATATTTGCTATATATATAGCAATTAAATAAGCAGAATTGTTATTTTTAGATTACGTTATGCAATTTTTTTTTACTCTGTAGTTATACAATCATTGTTCATATCTATTACAAGAGTTCAAATCTAGCAACAAAACTCTCCTGTGAAGTTAATTATCAGTGTACCTTTACCCCTATTATCCCTTAATAAGGGGTAGGTTTTCAAGCATTTTTTTGAAGTAAAATGGACCTTCATGAAGAGAATAGGAAAATTTCTTAAATTGATATGAACAGAAATGAGAAGTGGTTTTTTAACATTATTATTTCTCTTTTTATTCATAAAATTATTTGGGCAGAATATTTTCGTAACTAATGTATATATTTTTCAATTTTGTAGTTTTAAGTTGTTGTAAAGTGAGAAATAAAACACTAGAAAACGTTGTGATTATTGGAATTAATATTGTGTGATTTTGAACTAAAATCAGTATCTAAGTTATTTATCATATACTTATTTGTAATAGAATTATTTTCTCAGTAGATTTTAATTTTACCTTTTCAAACCTTAATTTTAGAGTGCATCAAATATAGCTCATTTCTTTTTGTGGATTATGACGACTTGAGATTACTGAGGTGCAAATAAACGAGTTTATTAAACTCAACTTTGGTTTTAAGGATGTAGTTAAAATACTAAAAGACTTGGCTGGGGCGGAGAGTAGTGGAATTTTTGTAGTGACGTAGCGACAATGTTGCCAACCTCTAGAACGTAAATTTCTTCATGACAATCTTTAAAATTCGTCACATTTTGTCACCCGCTGCAAATTTGAAATTTACTGCATGTTGTTTATATAAACGGATTATAAAACAGATTAACAAATTTGAAATAAAACCGCTATAATCACTTTATTAAAAGAAATAAAATATATAAACTTGAAACAAATAATAACGGTTTGAAATAGAACAAAAAATTAAAGCCACTTTTCCTATAGTTATATAAAAAGGAAGGATATTTAAGCCTAAAACTACTTAAAAATTGCTTTAGTAAAAACTGCACAAAAAGGTAATGTGTAACTCAATTAATTTAATTTATTTAAATTAAATAACCGGCGTTTCATTCATTTTATTTTTTTCATCCTCATCAAAATGATAAGGTAGTGGTTTCTCCATCTTCTCTTTTCTATATCAATAGCTGGATGGTTTTTTAACAAAGGCGTAAAAATGCCAGATACAGAACCAATTGATAAAGTTGTTCTGCTTTCACTCAATCTCTCTCTAACAAATTTGTCATTGCCAATGCAATTTCTTGGCATTTTTTATGAAATACAAATATTATAAATGAAAATTAATGTCCACTAATGTACTTCGAAAGAAAAATCGTCACAAGAGTAAATTCTTCGTCAATTCGTCAATAGCAATTTTTCTCCTTAAAAAATCATCACTTTGACGAAAAATCGTCACAGTTGGCAACACTGCGTAGCGATATTCTTAATTTTCTAGTTGGCAACACTGGCCTAGACTATTGTGACGTAGAAACTCATATCAACAAAGCCAAGTACAAGTACCTGTTGAGGTTATTTTATTTACTCCTGTTTTTATTGAGATTTTGCCAAGTTTATTTACTTTTTTTTAAATAATAATTATATAATACAAAAAGTAAGACATGTACGAATCACAAAATAAGTGGTGTTTTGTGCCCGGATGTAGAAATACTTCAATAAGTGCCCCTAATAAAACATTTATAAGTGTCCCGCAGAATTCTTCACGCAAAGTTAAATGGTTTAAAGCAGCCAGGCGAGATGTTCCTAAATCAAAATCAACTTTTTTTTGTTGCGAGGATCATTTTAACGTAAGTAAATATCAACCTTAAGGACAATGTTCTAAATTTTGAGGTTAATTTGTATTAACAAACTTTTTTTATTGCTTTAAAATTTAAAAATAAATATTTTAATGATATATTATTTAAATATGTATAATCTTATATATTATTGTATACATGTTTTACTTATTATTGTTTTTTTTAGCTTCAAGAAGATATGGAAAATTTTGTTCGCTATAAACTTATCGGAGGAAAAATTTTATTAAAACAGGACGTGGTTCCACATATATTTGATTGCCAACAAGACAGAAAAAGAGCTGCATCTGTACCACAGCGAACTGTTGTTTTAAAAAGACAAAGAAAACAGTTAGTAGAAGAAGCTATAACCTGGAGAATAAGAGAAACAGAAACAGAAACGGAGAAACAGAGAAATGTTGAACAAGAATTTTTACCAACAGTAATGGATTTTGATGGGCCCAGTACAAGCTCAGGTCAAGCCAGGTTAGAAAGGGATGAATATATTGTGGAAAATACAAAAGCAATTGGGAAGGCTAAAAGTGTGGGTATACAGGCGAAACCACATGTTCGTAGTAAATGTGTGTCATGCAAAATTAAACCTGATGTGCGCCATGCAACTTCTTTGACAGAAAAATTTAGGACAAAAGATGTTTCTACTTCACCTCTAAAAAATATTCGATCTGTTAAAAAAAGCCATTTTTATTGAGTCAAAAACAAGTAGTGAAATTGAAGAATCGGAATCCAGTGCCTCAGTCAGCTCAGTCTATACAGCTACATCTGATACTGATATTACCAAAACAAAGTTATTGACAGACAAAAAAGATGAACAGAAGCAAGCTTTGCATGTAACCAGAACTATGATCGCAAGCAAACCAAAAAGATATATAGGTGTACCCGATAAATGGTTTCCCCATTTTGTTGATTTGCTTTACACAAAAACTAAATTAAATAACGACAGTGTGCTTCTGACACTAATGAAAATAATACTAAAACGATTCTTTTTCACGATTAGGGGATTTATTCGGAATGTCACATTCTAACTGTTCCAAGATATTCAAAAAGTCTTTAGTGCACATTGAACATTTTTTGCGAACACTAATATATTGGCCGGAAAAAAGTAAGATAAAACAGTTGCTACCTATTGCATTAAGAGCACGGTACAGCAATGTGCAGTCTATAATAGACTGCTTAGAAATTCAAATTGAAAAACCATCTGATCCTGTTAAACAGGCCCTTACATGGTCTGAATACAAGAAATGCAACACATTAAAATATTTAATTTCATCAACTCCAGACGGATTTATAAATTTCATATCAAAAGGATATGGAGCAAGAATAAGTGATTATTTATTATTATCATTTATTCATTATTAGTTGAAGACAGTGGCTACCTACAAATTCTTAAGGCAGGCTGTGGTGTGATGGCTGACAGAGGATTCAAAGATATTGCCAAATTATTACATGAACGCAATTGCCACTTAATTAGACCTCCTAGTGTCTCCAGTGCAGAGAAGCCTACAAAATTAGAAGTACTTGAAACTAAGCGTATAGCTGGTTTACGAATACATATAGAACGAGTTATTCGTCGAGTTCGAGAGTTTCAATATTTAAAACCTTACTCGGTAGTAGATCACAATTTAGTGCCTCATATAGATAGTGTTATTGTTATTACTTGTGCTCTAATTAATTTACAAACCTCGATTATAAAATGATATTTAAAGAATGAATAAGTTCAACAGGCTTTAATATCACATTACATCGATTCTTTGCAAATAACTATAAAATTAAATCGAGATTTAAATATAGAAAGATTTTAAGAGTAGAAAGAATAATTTTCTTGTTTTGCGAATGTACAACACAATCACTGTTAATCACAAAACGCCTGATAAGCTTTTAAGAATAATTGTAATAATAATTCTCAAATCAAAACTTAATACAAGGCAGGTATATACCTGTCGTATGACTTGACATAGACCATCCGCCATTTATATGAGATGATGTTTTACAAATCGTTTTGAAATTTGAATTTTATATAGGTATTTATTATTAAATATTTAGAAAATTCTTATGAAATAGGTAATGTAAACTCTTTTAGGTGTTTATGTACATGTTATACTATGTATTAAAATACAGTTCTAGGCAAGGTTTTGTATATAGAAAACACCCTATTAGGCCACGCTCCCAGTTGAAGAATGCGTCACATCTAGTGGATTTAACTGTCAGGTAAAACTTCAAAATCGATTATCTTGGTAATTTATGAACGTTGCGTCGAACTACTTCGGAAAATTCTTATTCAAGGTCCAAACTACACATACCATAAATATCAAAAATTACAAAAATCCGACTACCTTACCTTCAGTCCTTGTAAGTAATAGAAAAAAAATAAGTACATATAACAAAACTACAATAGACCGGCCCAATGCTAGTTATGCCTCATAGCACCAGTGTCGCAAAATAGGCAATAAAAATATAAATATAAATTTAAAGATTGAACTGTCTACTAAAAAAAACAACAAAGTTTCAGCAACACTGCGTACATATATACAGTAAAATTCCCCTTCGTGGACTGCCCTCTTACACGGACACCTCCCTTGGACCGACAATTACTCATGGTCCCGACCGACTCTCATATAATTTGCATTATGTTAACTCCCTCTTGGACGGATACTCTTGAACGGACGCGGACACAAGAAAATATTCTCTTAAAACGGACAAAAAACAAAAAAGAAAACAGTTAAAAATTGCTTCTATAAAGCAGGATATAACCATGAAAATATGTAAAGTGAAGATCAGTTAACTGAGGATGTTACATCTGATCCAAAAATAAGAATTTGTTGGAACTGACTGAATGAAAATTTGGACAAAAATTTGTATGTTGAAGATCCAGATTCAGGACTAGAAATTGAAAATCGAGTTGAAATACAGAAGATTCTGACGTCGATGAGGTTCCAGTACCAACAGGGGCTATCCCAAATTATGGTGAAGCTATTATCCTAACTAATCAGCGATCCAACATTTTGCCGAAGATCACGGAGATACCGAGTCTTTGGAGCTTTTTTCCAAATTAGAAATATGATTTCTGGAAGCCATTTTAAAGAAAAAGAGGAAGACAAACAACAATATATGAATTTTTGCGTCATTAAAATGACATTTTATGTATACTATATTCCATTATATTTTGTAAGATAACAAATCCTTATTTTTTCCTTAAGTTTTAAGTTTTTATTTATTTTAAAAACATTTACATACAGAGTGACCCATTTGAAAGCAGGCCACCCTCATAATATTTTTATTTAAGGAGTGATTTTGACAAAAATTTTTTTTGAGGTGTGGAGGGGGGAAAGCTGTATTTTAGGGCCAAGCGGCGTCCAGTTGTTTTTAAAACTAAGGCCTACTAGATCACATTCGGAGGCTGGAAAAAACACTTCGCCCCAAAATACACCTTTCCTCCTCCACATTTCAAAAAAAATTTCGTCAAAATCACTCCATAAATAAAAATGTTGAGGGTGGCCCACTTTCAAATGGGTCACTCTGTACATATACGTTTTAAATGTCCCAATTTCTTTAATTACAGTTTTCATTTAAAAACAATTTTTTTTTCGTATTTCTTTTAGGCAGACACCGCTCTTGAAGGAACACTTTTAGTCGGTCCCGTTGGTGTCCACCCAAGAGAGATTTCACTGTACTCTAATCAAGCTTGATTTTACTTTCTGCCTGACTTAAAATTTTCCCTTCTCAGACCATGTTGAGTCTGGTTTAAAGTTTACAAATTCTTCATAAAAATGTAGTTCGCGAGGTTACTACTAGGCAATCTACCGGTGCCACTTCCCAGGTTTCCTTTTGATCCGCGATCTTTATGAGTTATGCTAAATTTTACGAGTGTTGAGTGTTTCGCCCATGAGAACTTCTCGAAGTTACTACATTGTGATTCACAGGAGGCAAATCTTATTTTCCTCTCGCCAAGTCTCACCACACAAGGTGGCTCAAATTTAGTCAGAACTATTATACTATTAACAAAGATTTTCCTATTTACTATATTTATACCGATATTGATATTTAAATTCAGTCCAAATAAATGAGTGGTTTGGCCAATAATCCCCATGTTTTATGAAAAATGTATTATATTTCAATTTTTGTGAATAAAATAAAGCCATTTTTTCTTAAATTAAAAGTCGTTCTCCAGATTTGGAGACTTTGAAGGCCGCTTTGATAATAACGAGATCTACCGCGTGCTCACACAGGGATGGCTGTATCGGCATGGAGCCCTTAATAGGCACCGATATCGAGTGGTAGTGCAAGTTAATAAATAAATAAATGTATCTTTATGTAAATTGTGTTGAACTTAAGGGTTTACCCATTTTCGTTTTCCCTCCTGATTGTACTTTAGTTCCCACCACTCGATGTTACGTTTTCTGTAATTTGTGTTCTCTCACTTTTGCCGTCTCGCCAAATAAGTTGAACTGTAATCTGTCTTTAGATCGACGTTAACGTCATAAATGTAACTCTTACTATTTACTAAGTGCATTAAACGCAAATATACTACAGTTCAAAAAAATCGTCACATTTAAAAATATTTTTTATCGTCTGACGATGACACCAATTAAAATGATACAAGACCATTGTTGCCACTGTTCTTTATATACCCACTGTAATGAAGAATAACCTCTTGTGGCGTGTAGCCAAAAATGATTGAAAAACAATGGAATAATTTATTTTAAATTAAATTAAGTAAATGTACAACTTATTTAGATTTCCGCATCTTCTGCCATCATTTGAGCGATTAAACGCTTTCTTTCTTCAGCTTGTCTCATTTTTGTCAAAGTAATACTCTCGAAATCAGATTCTTTTATTAAGCTACTCTTCGAAGTCCCTGTACTTCTCGAGAGGGGATCCACCCATTGCAATTTAAGTGGATTTGACGATAATCCAATTTCAAAGTCTACCGCCATTTCCTAAAGAAAGAATATTTATACATTATATTTTCACATAAATAAACAAATAAGTATTCAAATAATTAAATTAAATCAATAAAATTCTTACTGACTTCTAAGCTAAGCCACAAAGTTTCATTAGCATGTCAATTTTCTCAAAATACTCGAGTGTCTTTCCATTATTTAAGGCCGATCGCACCGGCGTTACTAGAATTTTAAAATGTGCTTAAGCTGCAAAGTAATTATGTGTTCATTAGTTGTTTGAAGCACTACTTTTGGGTCTACGAAAATATTTTTTAAAGTTTCTAGTATCTTGTCTTATGCCCATTCCCACCAACTTTTGATTAGGAAGAGTATAAGGTATGCTTAATTTATGAATTGGATAAGCCATCAGTCAATATTAAATAGGCACGAAGGAGTATATTATGCAATTTTGTAAGAATCTAAGATTTCTAAAATATGAATAATAATTTTCTTACGAGATACGAAAATTTAATAAGTGATAGAACTCGCAAAAATAAAAGCTCATATGAACTTTTATGGTTTAAAACTTCGTGTTAGAGATGCAGGGTGTTAAAGTCAATACAAACAACTTGTTTCCAAATATCTCAAAAACTACATGTCCGATTTTAGCAAGTTTTTAGTAATAAGTGGCTAATTTGATGCAATTAGATTTAATTTATTTATTCCAGGGGCGGCACTGGTATATGCTATGGTATGGTAACTAGCTATGGTAACTAGATATTTTATAGAAAAATTTGAGCAGACCACTTTTTTTTGTAAGTACGATAGGTATTATTTTTTAGATTGAGTACTTAATTAAAATAAAATTTTCTGTTTTTTTTTATTATTTTATTTTATTAATGAAATTAAATTGAATATAATTTTATTTTTTTCCTCAAAGAGTAAGCTAGACATGCAAGGGACAAAAAACTAGTATTTTTAATTACTCAATTTAAAAATACAGTATAATCTCACTAATCCGGCACCATTAAAAACCTAAGAGTGCCGGAGTACTGGAAAATTCGGATTAATGGAAAATGTACAGGGTGAGTCAGTTTTTTGTACACAAACTTTAACAGGAGATAGAACACTAGTTTTTAAAAAGAAAAGTTCCTATAAACATATGTCGTAGAAGGCTTCGTTTCCGAGATACAGGGTGTTGAATATATTTTTTTTTTCTCGAATTTTCATTATAATTTATAAACGAATGCTTAGATTTTTTTCATGTTTGGGAGATAATGTCTATTAATTAAGTGGCATAAAACAAGCGATAAGAATGTTCAAAAACTTGCACAGTGACGGAGTGGAGGGGGTGCTCAACCTCTTTCTTAGACAGAACTTCTACGCCAATGACTATTTTAAAAAAAAACTGTTATTTTCATTATCTACATACAGTTTAACAAAAATAATGTCCCTTCTTCCGTTTCGAAATTCCTGTGCGTTTAAGAGTTATTTTGATTTTTAGAGTTTGATGTGGTACTAAATTAAATAATTTATTTATTATCAATTATCTGTTAAATATTTAATTCTATTAACGAAACCTACCTAAATATGGTTTTTTAAGGATTCTAAAAGCCGAAATCTCATATTCTTTATCTCTTTCCAATGTAGTCAAAATAAATATTTGTTATATCAAGCTATACTCAAATACAAGACTTTTATAAGTTGAAATCTGTTACATTACATACATACAATACATTATTGTGCAGTTGTCAAAAAGTTTTAAGAAGTTGTTACTTAAATATTGTTCTAAATTCAAAAAATTTCTCCATAAACATTAACATCAATGTT